GAAAACTGCCATTCAGAATGTCCTCAGTGTACTCAGGTATAGGAGTCACAGCAGGCAAAGCCATGACGGGACACCGCCTTTGCACTGGGCTGCTGCCGCGCGCGCGCGCGCGCGCGCGCGTGCGCGCCCCTCTCCCCCCCACGCTGTATGCATGTCTGTGAACTACTCCTCAGGGACGAGGGTTGCTCCAGTCAGCCCAGTGTAGCAGCCTTTCCAAGTTAGCTGGGGGGAGGTGGGGAAACAGGCAGCCATGAGTGGGGTAGAGGTGACTGTTTTATGTGATCCTCAGGTTGCCTCTGCCAGCTAATCTTGCTGCTTGTTGCTTTGTGTGTTTGTTTTCTGCTTCTTTAGCAGTAACTGAGGACTGTTCACCTGTACTGACAGGTATCTTGGGCCCTGTGTGGCGGGGACCAGTAGGAGAACTGTGTCAGTTACTCAGCAGATAAAATGAATGTGCTGATATCATGATAGTCTTACATCATAATCTTAAACTAACCTGTTTATAGACATTTTTTTTAAACCTTGTGTTCCTGTCTTTAGATTTTTTTCAAGTAGTTGGATATTATATTCCATAGGCCTATCTTTAAGTAGCACCTGCCCTTTTCAGAGAGAAGCGGAAACAAATAGAAAGATAGCAGAAGTTCACGACTCATCCTGCTACTGCTCCCTCTCTTTCCTCTGATGCTAGAGACACAGCCTGTGCAGACCTGATTTTGGTCCCCGAGTTAAACCCTGATATAGACAGAGTAGGGTTCAGGGACCTCCCAAATGCTGGGTGTCCGTTGCCTTCGAATATCTCTAATTGCGTTTACAGTGGTGCATTTTATTTACCTCAATAGGTCAGTCGATAATCTTTTGTGCTTCTCAAGTGGAAATAATTCCACAGTGATAAAACCTAAGCAACTGAAGAATGAGATTTATATTATACTAGAGGCCCAGTGCATGAATTCGTGCACAGGTGGGGTCCTTTGGGGGTGGCCTGCGGAGATCAGGCCCTAGCTTGCAGTTCCAGCCTTGCAGCCCTGCAGTCCCTCCTGTCACCTCTTTTTGGCCTGGTGCTGCTCCCTCACCTGCTCCATCATTCTGCCTGTGGGGCAATTGATTGGGGCTGGCTCCCTCAGCTCTTGGGAGCCAGGTGACAGCACAAAAACCCCCCCAACCCCCCTTGCTGATCAATCGGGGTAATTGAGTTCTCACTTGCACCCCCCATGGACTGGTGCCACCTGCTCACCTGCTCACCTACTCCACCATCCTTTGGTCCTGGTCCCACTCTCCTCGGGGCCCATTGGGGTTAGCAGCACCTCCACTGCTGCCCGTTGCCAGCACAGCACCATGTTGCTGAAGCCTGCCATGTCCCATGCTTGCTGGTGGTCAGTGCACGTCAGTCAAAGTGAGAGGTTGAACTCTTGGTCGAACTCCTGGTCAAACGACTGCCTGAGGGGACAATTTGCATATTAGGCTTTTATTATATAGGATTTATGTGCAGGAAAATTTATTTTAAAATTAGGATATAAAATACGAAAGTTTTCTGCTGAAAAGTAGAAATCTTAGCTGGGATGTAAATATTATTACTGTGCTGCTCTTTGACACCAAAAACAGTTTTAAGTGATGTTATTTCAGGCAATTATATATACTTGGAAATCAATCATATTTAAGAAACACTGTTTTTTATTATTTCAAGATGTTTCTTTAGGTTGTCAGGCACTTGCCCGATGGATAGCTTCAGAGAATACATTTCTAGCCTAGGTTTGCCCTTAAGCTCAAGACCGTTGATTTGGCCTCCTGTTAGACATCTCTCTTGGATGTCAGTGGCTTCCTTATTGAATGTGTTTCAGACTGGCTTTCTTCTTCAGAGTAGTTTGGTATTTCCAGGCCAAAACCTTGAATATTTCTTTTCCTTCCCATCAATCCATGTGGAAATTTGGTTGGCTCTAATCACAAGTATATATCTGGAATTTGACTCGATCTCTTCACTGCTAGCCCTTGGTCCCAGCTACTTTCATCTTTGCCTGGATTATTGCAAGAGACAGTTAATTCGCCCCTCTTTTCTCACTGTTCTCCTTTCTCTCTTCTCCCTTTCCCTCTAATTTAGGAATCTGTTAAAATTTGAGTCTGACATGTCTCTCCTCTGTTCTGAAGGCTGCAAGGCTTTTCTTCTCTCTCGGGGTACAAGCCCAGGCTGTCATGGCCAAGAGGCTGACACCCTCACCGAACCTGCTGTACTGTTCTGCTCTGCATCACTCCCTCTGAGACTGGGTCCTACAGGCTCACTGCCTCGGTCTCTGGGTGCTGTTCTATGGGTTGCTGCTCACTGCTGTTGCCATGCGCAGCCTCTCATCTTATTCACAAATCACATTCCTGAGCCACTCACATGTAAAATTTGATCCCCCTCCTGATAGTTCAGATCTTCCTTTTCTAATTTTTTCCCTTCCATTATCACTGTTTAAGAGGCTTTCTGTTTTTGTTCTTGTGTGTTTCCCTCACTGGCCTTTCTGTTTTCTGAGGCAGGGACTTTGGATTGTTTGTTACTGATGCCATGCAGCTGCTGAGAGTGCTGCTAGCATCGCACAGGTGTTACTGTGGACATGATCCTGCTGCCGGTCTGCCCGGTGTGTGGCAGCATTAGAGCTGCTCCATCCGGTTGAGAAGCTATGATAGGCCATGGAAGGACAGCTTCACGAAGGCCCCACTTGGTCTGATTTCCATCCCATCCCTTGAAGCTGCCCACTTCGTAAGCGCTCAGTGTGCATGGGACAAGGAGGGCGTGGGTGAAGGCAGGAGCAGAACTTTTCTGATTTGGGATTATTTTTGTCTTACTTTTCATGGTATCTAGATTATACATTTTCCAAAACTGTGAGTATGTTAAAACTTTTAAAACTGTGAGAATGGTAGTGAAGGGTAGGCCACATTCAGACATGACACGTTGGCGCTGTTATGTCCATAGAGGTTGGGGTTGATGAGTTTATTTTAATTAGCATTCTATTATTGCTAATCCTAAATCACGCCTGGTTTAGGATTTTAACTGAGAGGATATTGAGAATTTTACATTACTCATGCTTTCCGAGGACCAAATTTAAAGAATTTTTACTTACTTTAAATCACATTTTGGATGGATAAATATTTTGCGTTTGACTATAACTTCAGTGTGTTTTAGGATTATAAATTCCCCACCCTTAATGTCTACAAAAGCATCTTCCATTAGGTGGAAGCTGTCCCTCCCTGTGTACTTTGTTTGTTCTCCTGTGCGGTATCATATTTTTGTTTCAATTCTTAAATTTTAAACATTTTATGTAATTTTTTTTTCTTTTTAAACTGCACTGCATTTTCTAAGCCCAAGTCTCTTAAATTATACTTGCTCATGTAAATAAGCTGTGCTTTGCAACTTTGGGTTCTTAACCTTTGCTCTTTGCTATTAGCTTTATGCTTTTTTAATTATAAGAAAATAGAGGACAGTAGGGAAGTTATGACTTAAATGGACTGTTGTTATTACTGTATTCTTTCTTAAGGAAATGAAAAATGTTATTTATTTTGTCCAAATCAAGCAGAAACAAATAAAGGATATTTTGTACTGTTATTTTTGCTAACCCTTTAATATCATCACAGTTTGATTCTTCATATATAATAATTATTTTTTCATTTTAATGATTAATGATGTGATTAGTTATTTATAGTTGTCCATAGTAATTATATACTAGATGGAATATAATGAACATTATTTTCAGTGTATAGAGATGGATTATTTGAATAATTAATTCATAATCATTTAAAAAATGTATATTATTTTAGCCACAAAACTGAGGTTCCATAGTATTGTAGGAAAATAACCAGATCAACCATACATAAAAAGAAAAGAAGCAGTCGCAATTTTAGGAATTGTTTGAGTTGTGGCTTTTGACACATCTCTTCCAGAGGCCACAGTGCTTCACAGTCTCACGAAGCCGTTTGTGCAAACACGTCCAGATGAATTCAGTGTTTAATGTTAAGAATCTTATAACATGCCAATTTGATTTGTAGTCCCTCATATCAGAGAATGCTAATTAAAATCATATTTTTGCATATGTCATGCCTTTCATGTACATATGCAAATAGATTCTGTTGCCTTTCAGCTACTAGTAATTAACTTTATGAAGGACAGCTGTAATACATAATTAACAAAAATGTTTGCAAGCCCTTTTACACTGAAAGTTACAAGAGTAAAATTTATTTTTTTGCTCATGAAGAGAACCATTTGAGTTTGATGCTTCTGAGGGAGATCTAAATTGTTTTAAACAATCACAGAATGTAATTAAATCGATGTTGCACCATATTCAGTAGAAGAATGTTGCTCCATGCACTGGTTGCAGATTCCTGTCCATTTCATATCTATGTAAACAAAATTGGATTAATTGAGCTGATTTGTGTATAAAATAAGGTAGCATGTCAGGTAATACTCTTTTTTTAGTGATTCATATGTTCCTGGTACTTCAGCACATTTTTTTTTTTTTTTGCCTGTACTGCAGATACAATAAACATTTATATCATTGTTAAAAACCTCTCTTCAAATTATTATCATGTTTTTAAGGCAACTCCATGAAAGCTATTCATTTTGTCTTTTACAGTCCCTTAAATATTTAATAAAATGACATTTTCCGAAATCATCTTGTGATTGAAGTGTGGGATCAACTAGGGGGCAGTGAATGTTATTACATTGAAATATTGCTTTCTCTTGCTTCCTGACAGTGAAGACAATGACTAAAAAACTAAAATCATTGTTTTGGTCACATAAGAAAATGAACCAGTCACTTAAATGCAGTTATTTCTGACTTCCAAATATTATAGTAAATTTGTTCTGTATGCAGATCTCTGTTTAGCAAGAGTGCATTGTAATCTGCATTATGTTACATCCATATATACATGCCTATTTTTAAATACTTTTTGTACATAATTCTAGCAGAGAGTCAAGTTTTATAATTACTGTTATTTATTTATTTATTTATTTATTTATTTATTTACTTTTTTAGGGTTGCTTTTGTAATGAAGAAGCACTTAAATACTCATCTGCTAGGCAAACATGGAGTTGGCACCCCCAAAGAAAGGTAATTTTCATTCACTTTAAAAATCAATGTATTTTCATTTCAGAATTTGTTTAATAAGGTGACTTATAGAATTTTTTCAAGTCTGTTCATATGGTTTGCATTTGTGGTACTCTGTTGTTGAATATCATGTTTTATGCCCTATTCCCCCCAAAATGTGCTGCCATATTAAGATTTGAAAGGATTTGAGGAACTTTGAGTTTGTGAATTTGTAAAACAACCTTCAAATAGAAGAGTTAAATTAGAGGGAATTGACCTCTACTGATACATTTGAATGAGTTAAAATAAGTGTGTAAGACTACACTTTGTCTATTTTCCTCTTGTATTTTTATTTTGAGGTTTTAAAATAACATTTTTGAATTCTTACTGTAGAATTAAACATTGCTAATATTAAAGAAATACATCTTTGTCATTCCCAAAATAATACTACAGTTGCCATGTCATGAAAAATAACACTGTAATTATTATGTCGTCAACTGCCAGGCTTTCTTTTTTCTTGCTACTGTATCATAATTAGCTTCATCACCCAGAGTCAATTGTATTAGTTGAGCTGCAGTATAGTAATGTCAGCTACCAGGTGAGCATGGCTACTTCTGAAATTTTTAAATCTTTAACACCTGCAGCCAATCAGACCCAGGGCAGGTACTCTCACCTTCCTTCAAGGATATCAATATTCAGATTTTCTCAAATTCTCCAAGAAATTCTGGATACTCCTAGAAAGTTGTTTGTTTTAAATACTCTTTTAAAATGTCAATGATCATGCAATTTATTCTGTCACAATATATCCTAGGGCCTCTTCTGCCATATTTTAAATGTTTAATTGCCTTTGTAAAATTTAAAATGCCCTTAAAGTATTTTTTTTTTTATGTTTACAAGGAATTTAACTTGACTTTTCTATTGGAGGCATGTTATTTTCTTTAGCATTTTAGTTTGGACATGAATGCTGTGTCAAAAAATGGGATGTTCCGTATGTTTACTTTTTGCCTTTTTAAAAATAGTTTTCTTTATTACATATTTAATTTGAGTCAAAATTTATATTTTGAACATATCCTGGATGCATTATTCTTGAAATTCAAAAAATTTCTATATTATTTACATTATAATTTGTGAATTAGGTTTTATGACTTCAAAGTTATGTTTCCTAAGTATTTAAGAAGTGGAAACAAAACATTTTTAATTGCTAGATTCTCATTGCTTTCACGTGGATTATCTCAATTAATTATTCTATGACCCTATTAGAATAATTATTATTCTAATTTTATAGGTCTAAGGACTGTGTATTGTTATTCTAGTTTCATAGGTCTAAGGACTGTGATTCAGGAATATACAATTTTTTATTCAATATCTCAAATGTTAGAACTGTAATTTTTTTAAATCCAATTCTACTGCTCTTTCTTTTAATTATATTATCACACATTGAGAATCTATACATATTGGTACTTAGGATGTTTTATTCACAAATAAATTTGAATGAAAACAATCTAGATCAGATAGTTAATAAAAAGAAAATACTTCCCTACTATATAACTAGTATACATTTTGAACTCAACTATGTAATTTATTATCTTATACATATATTTATCCTCCAGGCATTTCAAAAAGAGTAGATGTCATATATATATATATATATATATATATATATATATATATATATATATATACACACACACACACATACAAATACACATATACACACACACATATATATTATGGTAGAAATTTGCTTTTTCCCTTTATCTTTTCCTGTACATTTCAGGAACACTCTCTTGCTTTTACCTGTTTCAGTCTCTAATACATAAAGGGAGTCTAAAAAGAGGCAAGAGAAAGATTTCATGTTTTTCTCCCCTTAGAGATATGATATTCTTTTTCAGCATCACTGGCATGATTTTTCTCCTAAAATCAGGAAATGAATATCAGCTGGGGAGTACAACCCATCTTCTGGTTTACTACCTTCTGAGTAGTTCAAGTTTATATAAACTAAGCATCTTAGAATGTATTGCTTTTCCTCTTAAAAGCTCTGAGCTTCAGGTTACTTTCTGTTTATGGTACCTGTTTATAAGATGACATTCCCTCTGATGCATAGAAATGCTAAGTTCAAATGCCAGGACCTCAGCAGCAGTATAGGTTTCCAGTGGACGTCCATAGCTGGAGAAGACTAAGACTTAATTAGCAGCACCTAGCACAGTAAATGCCAAAAGGATCTCTCCTTCTAGTTCACTTTCCTCCATTCCTTCTTGAGGAAATCAATGCCTTTTAGTGATTATAGGAAACAAAGAAACTACCAGCATGCTGAACCCTCACTTTGGGCATAACTGTTCTCTAAATTAAGTTAAACATTTTTTTTTTCTTACCTATTTAAAACATTAATGTATTGGCTATAATTTTGCAAGCTTGCTATATTTTAATTTTTTCAGGAAAGTATAATCGGTTTATTTTTTTATGTTTTGAATTTGATTCTCACCTTTTATGCATTGCATATTACAGCAAATAGTAATAGAAGTTAGCTAAATAGGCTGTGAACATTAAATTAATAATGCATTTTGTTTGCAAGTATTTAGGCCTTGTGCTTTGACTGATGTATGCAAAAATGATAATTTATTACAAATCAGTTCGTATACTTACACTATCGTTTGATGAACCAATAAATTTTCTTAGCATGACTGTGATTAGCAACAGAAAACTAAATAACTTCAAATATTTTTTTTTGACACCAGGACCTCCTGAAGTGATGGTTTGTGTAAGAACATACTTTTATGTTCCTTAATTTGCATGAATTTATTTCAAGGACGTGCATTGGCATATTTCAGAAATCTTATACACTTAAATGTAAATAACTAAATATAGTAGAATTCACATTTTAAAGTAAACTCCAACTAATTTAGCAGCTTTACTAAAGTATTCCCTATTTAAATATAGTAATTCTCTTTTTGTATAGTAAGCCATAGTATCTTTATGACTTTAAAATCATTAGCAGTTACCACGATTGAAACAGCCATGATCAGTATCTCTGTGTGAAGGCCAGACTGTGGAGAGCGCTGACATTGATAGTCCAGCACTCGGGTATCAGCTGGCTTTGAGTGACCATGTGAATAGGAGGAGAGGAGATGATCACTCAGAATCTCTAACCTTATCACTGCTTCTGTGGTGTCAGGACTCCGTCAGGAAAGGCCACACTGGCAGCATCTCAGGAACAAGGCTGACATGCTCTTGAAGCCACTTGTACCAGAAAAGGATTTTAATTTTATTTTTTAAAGAATAGTTTATTGATTTTTAGAGAGAGAGAAAGGGAGAAGGAGAGGTAGAGAGAAACATCCATCTGCTGCCTCCTGTATACCCCCTACTGAGGATGTGCCCTGACCCAGAATTGAAACAGCAACCATTTGGTGGGTGGGATGATGCCCAACAAACTGAGCCACACAGGCCAGGGCCCAGGAAAGGATTTTAAAGTGATGCCTGCATCAGAGAGTCTAAGAGCTAAAAGTTTTTACACAATGAAAAGAAATGCACTTGTTTTTCCAGTTATTAATGAATATCCACATCAAAACTTTAGTATTTTTTTGTGTGAAACAGTTTCTGGAGGAGCCTATGAAGGTTGTGTGTCTTATTGTCAATATAGCTGTGGGCTGTGTTAAGGCCCCTGGGCTGGCTCAGGGCTGGTGTTTTCATTCAGGGGCATGCATTTCCCCCAGGCTTCTTTCAGGTGGCTCAGCCCTATCATTGGTGCTGGCTTCTCCCCTTTTATCAGACATTTGGGATTTGGGATTGGTCATCCTTTTTTTTTTTTTTTTTTTTTTTTTAAATCAGTACCTTCAATCTTACGGAGAAGTAAAATCTTTCCCATGCAGTCTCATATGTACTAAATATCACTGAGTCTTACTGTGGGACAGAAATTCTGTGAGTCTTTTAGCATTGATCTGGTCTCCTTTTTTTCCTCTTTTCTCTAAACCTTTATATTTATACTAGAGGCCCTATGCATGAATATTCATGTAAGAGTAGGCCTTCCTTCCCATGGCTGCTGGCACCAGCTTCCCTCTGGCCCCCACTGGCACCCGTGACCTGGACTTCCCTCCTCCGGGCACCCGCAGGCACCCAGACCCAGACTAGCTTCCCCTGGGCCACCCATAGGCACCCGGGACCCCGGCTGGCTTCACCCAGGCCACCTGCAGGCACCTGGGACCAGGCCGGCATCCCTCCTGCCCCAGCTTCATCAGGAAGGACTTTGGAAATAATGTCCGGTCTAATTAGCATATTACCCTTTTATTATTATAGATGTAAAATTGTATGGAAGTATCATCAGTGTTTCCTGTTTTTCAGTTTAGATGTAAGCCTCACCCTTTTTCTTAAAACATGAAAATCCTAAGCCCATCATTCCTGGGAAAAGCACATATAAATGTACACACAGTTGCCCTTGGAACTTGGCTAGCAATACTTCTTTGTTAATTAGAAATTTAGGCTACTTTTAAATGAGAGAATAATACCATGTATAACAACTCTAAATTCAGAAGAGATTGAATTCATAATATGACATTAACTCTTGTTATTGTCACTTTACTATCCATTTTAATATTTTTATATATATTTTATTGATTTTTTACAGAGAGAATGAGAGAGGGATAGAGAGTTAGAAACATCGATGAGAGAGAAACATCGACCAGCTGCCTCCTGCACACCCCACCGGGGATTGTGCCCGCAACCAATGTACATGCCCTTGACCGGAATCGAACCTGGGACCCTTCAGTCCACAGACCGACGCTCTATCCACTGAGCCAAACCAGTTTCGGCTACTTTACTATTCATTTTAAAGAAATAATTTGCCCTTGGCTAAGTTGTTATTACTGCATGTATTTCCTTTTATTAAAGAATCAATAGTTTTCCTCAGTGTTTATTCTGTGTGAATTTCTGCAAGGTGAATACTGAGAGGAAGCTAAATCTCATGGGTGCATGCATAGAGATATATATATATTATTCTGTGTCATCTGTCCCTCATGTCAGTCACTTCCTAT